CATCCAGCGATGAACACCAGGTTCAGATTCAGGTGGAGCGCTGGAGAAAGAAGAAGCACAATGTTTTAACTTGATCTGGTCCAAAGTAGGGCTCAAACAAGTGAAGTGTGCTCGTAACAAATGAACTTTCTCTGTTTTCATACCGGAGCTTTCGTTGCTCTCCGCTGATCTCTTTAAGCGCAGGGGACCCTGGGAAACGAAGTGCCTCGCACTCTCCACGGCAACCTCTCTCTTTCTGCGGTGGTGGTTATGAGGCGAAGTGGCTGGCGTTGTGGAGCTGATGCATCCCTCAGAGAACCTGGTGTTGGGTTCCCCTGCTTCACACATCAGGACTGTGCAGCTGATGTACACCTGAATGAGACAGAACATGCTGTCATCACACCAGCAGACGGACCGACAGCAGAGCTGTGCTCGGATCCAGTTAAAACCTCCGCTCCACTTTTCATCTCCACGACAGTCAGTGACGTTCCACCTCGTCCTCAAGTCCATCCATGTCAAGTGGTACCAGTTTATTTCTTAAAACGTCGTCAGCGCTGAGTTTATTAGAGATGCAGTTTTTCTTTCATGATCTTTAGATATCAGATTCACAATGTGAAGCCACAGCTTGTAACAACCAAATATTACAATTGGAAACAAAAAAGGAAATACAATTTTGTTCTATAAAAGGTGAGATGGGAAATATAGATTGAGTTTGACAAAACGTGTAAAAGATTACGTGTTTTTGTTGACAAATTGCTTTTCTTGAATTGCTCAACTAATGTTTCATTGAAAATAAGTCTTTTATTTTGTATTATACAAATTCTGACATTATTACGTTTAAGTATTTTTTTTTTTTAAATCAATTATTGATGTGGTAAGTGTCTCGGGTGTTTTCAGAGATTTGCTTCCCCTTTTTGATTGGTTGTTACGCCCTGTGGCTTCAGCATACAAATGTGTTGCTTCACATTGTGTGTTACACCTGATGAAGATCCATGACGGGAACATTGTGCCTCTAATAAAGTTCACATGAATCCACCTGTCCACCAAGTGTGCATTGATTACCACTTAGTAAAACTAGTCAGATAAATGAAAGGACATCATGAACTGGACCTATTCGTTGGAGCATTTAGAGATTTCCCAGAGACATCAACAGTCCACTGCTCCGTTCTTTACCTGATCATGCATACCGATGAACTTGAAGGTCTTCATGCTGAACCTGAATTGTCTCGGGTGGGAGGGGGAATGGATCTGAACGGTCGGGTCCACATTACACCTAGTCAGAGCAAAAGAAAACAAAAAGATGAGACTGTTGCCTTTGTTACTCTATGCCGTACAGTGGATGCCGTTATAGGGGCAGAGGTATTGGTATTTACACAATAAGAAAAGTACTATAGGTTATATAAAAGATGAAGTAATTGAAGCATTGACATCTACATCCTGACAGGGTGACATTACACAGAAGAGCCCCTAAAGCAACAATCAAAGAACACATTTTTACAAATACTTTATTATGCCCTCTATTGCCACTAGGGGGTGTGCCCATGCCTACCCATTCTCAATGATGGAGTAGGTCCGCTGGGAGTTCTGGTTGTCATATGGTGAAGCTCTGCAGGACTCCACAAACAGCACGGTGTTGTTGACGGAGGAGGTGGCCTCTATCTGCATGTAGACCCTGCTCCCTATTTCATACACCACCGGGTATGAAGTTGGATCAATCATGGCTTGGTATTGGTCGTTAGGATAGAACTCAAACTGGTAGGTGAACCTGCCGAAGCTCCTGTCCCACACTGAGACGATGGGCCTGTGTGCTGTGAAGGCCAGTGTCGCGTTTCCACGTTTGGGGTACTGGCAGTAGAACTGCACCTCCAGCAGGTGTTTCCTGGTGATCACGTCGGCTCTGTTGTCAAACGTGGTGATTTCATTCTTGAACCTGAGGTTATTCCCGTCTTCCTGCAGAGTAAAAAAAGGTTATGTATTCAGTCCTCATACTGCTAGATAAAGGCAACACCAACGACTGAGAGAGAAGAGCCCAGCCAGTAACAAAAGCCTGCGTTACCTCGATCTCAGTGCCACAACCGCTGAGGGGGATGTCGGCGAAGACGTAAGTGCTGTTGGAGTGCAGCCTGCAGGCGGTGTTGGCACCGTCGTTGAGCCGCAAATGATCCTCATGGAGTCCAGCGAATGAAGATTTCTCAACCTCTACTCTCATTGTGGACTCGGTGCAGATCACATGGGAATTAACTAGAAGAAGAGAGTGTTAAAAAATAAACATTACATACCAATGGTATACTTATTTACAGGGGGCAGTAATGTCAACAAGAACTTCAGCAACGTTCCAGCAAACAAAGACTGCGTGCTGGTCAACATTGGATGTAAAATACTTTTTATGAGGAAAGGCACCCAAGGCCACGATACACACAATGTGTTTTAATGAATGTAAAGATGGCTTTTGTTTGTATACTAGGAAACTCCACAGGACACCTTGAAGTTGTGTTCCCATCAAAAAGATAGTGAAGTTTCTTTACAGTTCTGCTGGTTTGGTTTCACTGTGTATGAACAGTGAACGTGGTATTTTTGTGGAGAGCAATCATTTTTTGCATCCAATGACGGCTCTGAATTTTGTCTGGTAGGAAGGTTTACCAATCACAGCACTTTATAGAAGTGCATGTCTCGCGGCTTTTTAAATTCTAAAGTACACCAGCCATACAGCCAATATTTGGCACTTTAACTGAGCATTTAGCGTGTGATATATTTGGTGAAAATACACACCATTACAGCTATACTTAAACAACTAAATGTTGACATTAAAGTAGACTCACCTTGCACCCTCCGAACTTCTACCAAAACACACCTCATCTCAGACTGATAGACGCCAGACCTGAGAAGCATCAGTGAACGCTGACTTAATGGCTCTTTCGGTTAGGCTGATATGTCAATTTCAAATTATTACTGGTGGTTTTGGCTCCTAATTTTTGAATATCTTGTCGCTTAAGAGAAAAACACCAAACACAGAGAAATGTCACTCACTGTGGAGATGGGGTGGCGTGGTGATTGTGACTGTGATGGTGTGTGGTAGCGGTTCCAGCACGCCTGCAAAAAAATGTGTTACAAAGTAAAATCATGGCTTCACACACACACACGTACAAATTCTCTCATAAGGAACCCAAAGCTTACCAGGTCACCGCTTCAACAGCAAAGCAGATCGGAAAAAAATCCCCCAGGTCATCTTGGATAGGCGTCCACCTGATGACAAACTCCCCATGTGTGTTCCTTTGCTTGGTGATGTTCAGTGGGCCGCTGATGACGATATCCTGTATTCTGTGTGAAAACAAAACAAAGAAACCAGAGATTTATTGACTCTTTTCTTGCTGATGTTATCTCACGTGCCTCAAGGCAACACCGGTCACATTGCCTCTCACTCACGTTGCGTGTGATGCTCGTGCTCTGACTCTGATCTCCACTTCTCTGTTGACCTCTGCATGGAGGCGGGCTCCGTTTAAAGGTGTTGGGGGCAAAAACTCTGGCAAGTAGAGTCCTTCCTCACACGAGGGAGCAGGTGTGTCCACTAGAGTTAAAAAATAGAAGTTTAATTTAAGTTCCAAAGTGCAATAAGTAACCTATACTTAAAAACCGACACTTTGCTGCTGTCTGTGGATTAAAACTTCAAAGCTGCCACAGTAAGTGTTGCTGACTTTCATCAAAGGCAAATTGTCTGCTGGCTGTAGCTGTTCATGTTGTTCATGAAAAGAGTTTTAAAGAGACATGACTTTTACATGACCGAAAGGACAAGGTCGCGGCTACAAGCGGCCGAAATGAGTTTCCTCCGTAGGGTGGCCGGGCTCAGCCTTAGAGATAGGGTAAGGAGCTCGGTCATCAGGAGGGAGCTTGGAGTCGAGCCGCTACTCCTTCGCGTCGAAAGGAGTCAGCTGAGGTGGTTCGGGCATCTAATTAGGATGCCTCCTGGACGCCTCCCACTGGAGGTTTTCCAGGCACGTCCAACTGGGAAGACACCCCGGGGAAGACCCAGAACACGCTGGAGAGATTACATCTCCCAGCTGGCCTGGGAACGCCTCGGGATCCCCCAGAATGAGCTGGAACATGTTGCCGGTGAGAGGGAGGTCTGGGTCAGCCTGCTTGGCCTGTTGCCACCGCGAC